TCTAATAAACAATTAATGTGTAACCTGCCGAAACCCTGCTGATTGATTTCTGGATGAGTTTTGGCAAGCAACCTTAATTGAGGGTAGTATTTTTTAATATACTCATAGTGCCCCTTTCCATTGGGGGAAACATCAAAGCTTTCAGATTAGGGCTTCCAAATAAGATCAGAAGTTTGACATTGTTTGATTCAACAAAACTCACAATCAGTATACTGTAGTTTGTGTTGGCTTTTTACTTGATAATTTAGGTATAATTTTTATTATATTTAAATTATTCAGATACATGTATTAAATTTAATATTAATGGGTCTGATTCATTTCATCAACAATCATTTCATCAACAGTCATTTTGTTGACACCCATTTCATCAAAAGTTTGTTTCATCAAAAGTTCATTTCATCAAATGTTCATTTCGTTGAAAATTTGTTTCATCAAAAGTTCATTTTGTCAAAAATTATTTCATCACAAAAAAAAAAAACTTCATTAAACAAATTTCTCCTCATACTTCCCACACACTCTGCTTTCCTCACCTAATTTCTTAACTAACTTCCCACACTTCTCACATCTAACTCATTTGGTCTCTGGCTTGAGGATGAAATAATTTTTGACAAAATGAACATTCAATGAAATGAACATTCAATGAAACAAACTTTTGATGAAATGAACTTTCAATGAAATGAACTTTCAACAAAATGAGCTTTTGATGAAACAAACTTTCAACAAAATGGGTGTTGACGAAGTGACTGTTGATGAAATGATTGTCAACAAAGTAAACACAACTGAAAAAAAAATGAAACCATTGATTTGGAAAGGAAAAGGTAAGACAAACAATACTACAATTATGTATGCATGATAACAATGATTATTAAAAATTACATTTATATTTTATTTAGTGTGCATATTTGACCTCCAAATTTCAAAATGAAAAAAAAAAAATACAAAGTTAAATAAAAATAAATAATTTAATACATAATAAGTGACAGGATTTAACTTATTCAAATAA